TGGAAAGTGCTTGGTGTTGCCTGTTGTCTGCAAATGCAGGAGTCTTTTGGCAAGAATCCTGTGCAACTTTGTATCAGGAAGTCTCTTATGAACTCAGGAAGGTCACCCTCTCTCTGCTAGAAATCTCAAGATGACTTTCTATAACTTCTGCTTTCTTCTCTTGTCAGAGATGTGAGATGTCAACTTTCTTTAATACCTTGCTGATTTTCTTGGGATGACTCAAGGAATTCCTTAATTGTTTCTTAGTGGATTCTTGGCATGCCGTGATCACAGGGTTCAAGTTGGTGGGGTGATATTTTTCAGGAAGTGGCTACAGAGGTGAAGGCATTTGCAGCCAACCCCCAACACAAGACCTCTGACAGTACTTTTCTGGTCTTCATATCTCATGGCACTCACGGTGGCATTTGTGGAAAGAAATTCTCTCCAGGGGATGTAGATCTGTTACAGGTCAACACCATCTTTCCAATGTTGGACACTAGCAACTGTTCAAGTTTGAAGGACCCACCCAAGGCGATCATCATCCAAGCCTGCCATGGAGGTGAGAGCTGATCCTGTTAGGACAAAGCATTCAATTCCTGACCTTATTGTTCATATACATCAATATTTTTAGAGCACCTAAAAATAAAAATGTATCTATGTTGGTTACTCAACCAGATGTGATTCCTCTGAATTGTGTCACTAGTTGGAAAACACTAGTTTTACTTTTAACTTAGGGAGATTCCATTTTTAATCTTAAAATTTTGATGTTTAGAGGTCCTTCATTTGAGGGTAAGGGAAATAAAAACTGTTGATAAGATGGATCCTGAAATGTACATATATATGCAGAGTAATGACATTACATGACGTAACATATGTGAAATGCATTGAAGTTATGAATAATGAATTATTTTGGATTTTTGTTTGTTTGTTTGCTTGTTACTGGGAATCAAATTCACAATGTCATGCTTCCCAGGCAGACACTGTGCTGCTGAGATATGTCTCCAGCTAAATTAATTATTAGGTCACAGTTCTGAAGGTGTTTGGAGGAAAAAGCAGTGTTTCTGAAAGTTGATGGTAAAAGAAACCAAGTATTTTCTTTACAGAGAAGCAAGGTGTGGTGTGGTTAAAGGATTCAACAAGACACCATGGAAATATAATCTTCAATCCCAAAGGTTTGGAGTTTGAAGACACAAATATTGGCTATGTAGATGATGTGCTGGTTCTCTGCACTTCAACATCAGGTAATGGGTTTCTATCCATAACAGATCAGTAGGGTTACCAATGGAGAAACTCCCAGCATTTAAGAGTCTGGATGCCGGTGCTTAATTTTCCATGAAACTTTTGAAGACCAACTCACTTTTCTTCCAGTAACATATCCAATTAACCTTCTTCATGAAGACATGATGGATATGTAATTTTCTACTAAAGCAATCATTAATAAAATATTGTCATGCTGTAGAATATTTTTTACTTTAACTTGGAAGGGTAGCCATGATGTGAATGGAAAACTGTACTGAAGTCAGTTGTACAGTGACTTCGCAGAAGAAAATGCGCACAATGTTGAGACCCCTTGCAGTTCAGTTTCTAAGACTTTATGTATTTATAGAAGAGGGTGTTGGGGGCAATGGGGACACAAAGCAGACTAAGCTACACTGCAGTCTTAGGTTAAAGTGAATTAAGAAGTGTACAAAAGAAAATACACCTGAATGATTCTGAATGTCAGCTATGGAGTACGAGCGCTATAACTGTATCCTGACAGTGCTATTTAGTCCTCGGTAAACTGGGTCCAGTTTTTCAGTCTTGCTGAACTTTCTTTGGATTACTCATTATTGTATGTAAATAAAATATCTTTGCTCTGAGCATTAAATAAGAGGATGTGAGTACAACAAGAAGCATAGTACAGAAGAAAAGCACACATTCATGGGATACTGCTAACGAGTTTGCATTTTATAAATATGCAAGCCACTTCACATATTAAGGTTCAAACACAAGTCATAGAAATCCTCCCAACTGCTGAACTTTGCCGTTTCCTGGCGCTGACAGTCTCTTAGCTGCCTTGGCCCCTAAGACATTTGGCCTGTGTTCATACAGTTTGCAGGTTGCTCTCTCTAATGAAACACTTGCCTCCTGAGGTGTCCTGGCTCGGCATTATGGTGACTATGTCCTGATATAAACCACAACACGTTTTCCAATAATCAAAAATATTGATACTGTTTGTACTTTTCCAGCTTAACTAGGAGGCTAAATAACAAATATAATTGTTTTTTAAATTACTTAACCATGATCTTCTACAATAGTTCACTTCTGGCTACATAGTGGCGTGCACCTCCCTGACTTCTTAACGTCCATCTTGCTGGTTTCTGTCTCCATTGCCTTTGCTTGTTGCATCTGTCCACATGACTCTTAGAGATCCCGGCTCACTTTTCTTCACGTTTATGGTCCCCTGGGAAAAACCAAATGATATGAT